AAATAAAATGATATCTATTAAAAAAAAAAAAAATGGTATCTATTATAATTAAACATTGATGACATTCTTCCATCAATTTTTTTTTTTTCAGTTTTCTATAATAAACAAATAATAGACTAAATATGTTTGAATTAATTATTTTAATAATTTAATAGATTCAATCAATATGCCTTCCTTGGTTTATGCCTTCACAGGTAAGCAACGCTAATCAGGATTTGTTTGGTAAGAAGAATTAAATGACACGAAATCACCCTAAACCCCAACCCCACACACAAAAAAAACTGCGTTAAAATTTTTACCGAATCAAATACAAATTTACTTTTCTTTTTTTTTTTGGAAACAAAACTCAAAAAAAATATATATATATATGATAGTATCTATAATAATTAAACATTGATGACATTCTTCCATCATTTCTCTTCTTTTTTTTTCTTTTTTTTGTTCCAGTTTTATATAGTAAACAAATAAGAGACTAAATATGTTTGAATTAAATATTTTAATAACTTAATAGATTCAATCGATAATTTAGGAAATAAATAGATTTTGATTTATATATTTTAGGAATTGAGCAGATTCCATCAATAATTTAAGGACTAAATAAATAATTTGATGATAATTTAAGAGTAAAAAATGTAATAAACCCGCAAAACACCCAAGAGAAGGAGCATATAGTGTGCAACGCTTATTGGGGCCTTAATCCCATTAGAGCAACTCTACCATAAGAGGCAAAATGGACATATTAGAGCATCTCCAACGGTAATAGGCATTTTACCTATGTAAACATTACTATAAAGTATATATTTTATTTTTCCTGTCAGCTTTTTCATGTTTCTACTCCATCCATACTCTTTATTTTAACTATTCATCTACATATTATTAATTTTATAAGAGCTAAAATGCCTAATCATATGCCTAGTGCATTGGAGTTGAAAAAAATAAGTTATACTAGGCATTTTGACTAACAAGTATGATATACCTAGCAGGTTGGAGATGCTTTAGGCATTTTCGCTAGTAAATAGACTTTCTATTAGAAGTGATAATTTGTCTATTTTTATGTCAACACTTCATATGTAGTTAACGTCCAATGCTACGTAAAAAATGCCTTCCTGCCGTTGTGTAATGCTTACTGGAGTCTTAATCCCATTAGAGCAACTCTACCATAATAGGCAAAATGGATATATAAAGCTGCACAAGTTTGGAAGCTGAATTTTGGGGGCTAGACAAAGGTTTAACAATTATCATGCAAAAAGGAATGGCCAACATAGAAATAGAGACAGATTCCCAGATAGCAATGAAACTAATCTAGGATGGAGCTGAAAGTTCATCCCCATACAAACCACTGATTGAAGATACAAATTTTATACTGAGAAGATGCAACTGCAGTATTCAATATATTCCAAGAGAAGCAAACCAATGTGCAGATGCACTTGCCAACATTGGAGTCAACCAAATAGAGCACCTGGTTTTCTTAGATGACCCACCAAGCTTTATCTTTTCCTTTCTAATTGCAGAAATGGCTTATGCTAGCTTAAGAAGGGTCTCCCTTATACTCTATTCTTAACTTTCTCTCTCTAGTTTGAGAGCTTCTCTCTCTAAACTTTTCTCCCTTAGGGTTTCAGATTTTGTGGCTGCCGGCGGTGGGGGAGGGGTTTTCCGACGGCCTCTGGCCCCCTTTCCCCTCCCCCTACCCCTCTCTTGCTCTTTACTTAGCTTTCCCATAACTTGGAAGCCTTGGCTTTCCATCCTCTCCCTCCTTTGTGAGGTGTTTTTCCCACATCCTTTCACTCCAGGAGTGGCCTTCCCGGATCTGCGCCTTCACCGCCTCTTCCCTGTCGTCTTCTTCTCTGCTGCCTTCGCCGACGCCAGATTCGCCTCCCCAGCAGCCTTCATCGCCTCTTCTCCGCTCATCCGCCGCCTTCATAGCCTCTTCTCCACCGCATCTTCATCACCGTTCCTCTCCACCGTCAGTTCTGCCGAAGCCGCTGCCAGATCTGTTGGATGTGGGTCTGTTTTTTTTTTTATTTTGTTTGTTAGATTAAGTCCCTTGTTTGTTTTCTTTGGTTTTCGTTTCCTTTGATTTGTGTTGATTTTGGGTGTGTTTGGTTCTCTTAGAGCCCATCTATGTGTATTGTTAAGCTTACCCTCATTGTGGTTGGGATCTATGATTTGTTTCGGACATGCTCTATTGCCGATCTTTTATGATTGGCTCTGCCTACCCCACACGCACACAAAAAAAAAAACTATGTTAAAATTTTTACAGAATCAAATACAAATTTTTTTTTCTCTTTTTTGGAACAAAACTAAAAAAAAAAAAAAATGGTATCTATTATAATTAAACATTGATGACATTCTTCCATCAATTTTTTTTTTTTCAGTTTTCTATAATAAACAAATAATAGACTAAATATGTTTGAATTAATTATTTTAATAATTTAATAGATTCAATCAATATGCCTTCCTTGGTTTATGCCTTCACAGGTAAGCAACGCTAATCAGGATTTGTTTGGTAAGAAGAATTAAATGACACGAAATCACCCTAAACCCCAACCCCACACACAAAAAAAATTGCGTTAAAATTTTTACCGAATCAAATACAAATTTACTTTTCTTTTTTTTTTTGGAAACAAAACTCAAAAAAAATATATATGAATATGATAATATCTATAATAATTAAACATTGATGACATTCTTCCATCATTTCTCTTCTTTCTTTTTTTTTTCTTTTTTCTGTTCCAGTTTTGTATAGTAAACAAATAAGAGACTAAATATGTTTGAATTAAATATTTTAATAACTTAATGGATTCAATCGATAATTTAGGAAATAAATAGATTTTGATTTATATATTTTAAGAATTGAGCAGATTCCATCAATAGTTTAAGAACTAAATAAATAATTTGATGATAATTTAAGAGCAAAAAATGTAATAAACCAGCAAAACACCCAAGAGAAGGAGCATGTAGTGTGCAACGCTTATTGGAGCCTTAATCCCATTAGAGAAACTCTACCATAAGAGGCAAAATGGACATATTAGGCATTTTTGCTAGTAAATAGACTTTCTATTAGAAGTGATAATTTGTCTATTTTTATGTCAACACTTCATATGTAGTTAACGTCCAATGCTAGGTAAAAAATGCCTTCTTGCCATTGTGTAATGCTTATTGGAGTCTTAATCCCATTAGAGCAACTCTACCATAATAGGCAAAATGGATATATAAAGTTGCACAAGCTTGGAAGCTGAATTTTGAGGGCTATACAAAGGTTTAACAATCATCATGCAAAAAGGAATGGCCAACATAGAAATAGAGACAGATTCCCAGATAGCAATGAAACTAATCCAAGATGGAGCTGAAAGTTCATCACCATACAGAGCACTGATTGAAGATACAAATTTTATGCTGAGAAGATGCAACTGCAATATTCAATATATTCCAAGAGAAGCAAACCAATGTGCAGATGCACTTGCCAACATTGTAGTCAACCAAACAGAGCACCTGGTTTTCTTAGTTGACCCACCAAGCTCTATCTTTTCCTTTCTAATTGCAGACATGGCTTATGCTAGCTTAAGGAGGGTCTGATTCCCCCTGTTTGCTTGTATGTTTGTACTAAAACTTGAAACTTTGTTCTCATTTCATTTGAAAAAAAAAGGACATATTAAGCATTTTTGCTAGTAAATAGACTTTATATTGGAAGTGATAATTTGTCTATTTTTATTTCAACACTTCATATGTAGTTAATGTCTAATGCTAAGTAAAAATGTCTCCTTTCCATTGTGTGTTGCTTGCTCCATCTGTTTCTAATATGTTCCAACCTATTAATCTTTGTTTATTTTATATATTTTATAAATGGAGATTGACAGTCTTACATGATAAGAAATTTTTACAATGTCCCCTCAAGTTTTATCCAAAGTTACTCATTAAAAATAAAAAATAAAACGCAAATGCCATATCAAAGTGCTTACGTGACATGCTACTAAAAAGATGGAATGTTGTTAGAATAAATGCTAGATAAAGTGATTAGGCAAAATACTGAGTCTACCTATCTTATGTGCTTTAGAATCATGATGTAAAATTGATTAAACAACCGTTTCGTGGCATTTTGTTGATTTATATAATTTACATAAATTATAAGTCCACTTTTATAACATTTATATTATAAAAAAGAAACAACAAAAAACAAAACAAAATGTTGTCTATGTCTATATAAAATTAATGCCACTTGTTTACCATAAATAAAAAAATTTTAAAATAAAATTAAAGCCAATAAAGTTGGGGTTATTATGTAATATGTAAACGATTTTGGTAACCTTCCCATTTCTTTTGATGACTAATTATTCCATTTGAAATTGAATGCAAAGCATAGTTTTAAGGTAAATGTTAACCGGTATGATTGAGACATTGTTGAATATCGGAATTGAACTAAGAATTATCTTGAAAATAGGTGCAAAATTTAAAAAGTGCTTTAATTAAAATAAATAAATAAATATCAAATTCAACAAAGTTATTTTAAATTTAATAAAATATGTATAGTATTCTATTAAATTTTCCTTCTTTTTTTTTTTGCATTTTCTTTTGAATTCAATAAGAGGCTTGTCAAAAACAACCTTGTTTTATTTTAATTGTACACTAGTGCAAATTAAACTCCTCAAATAACTTGCATCAAACTACCTCTATAAACCATACCCGCATAGAGTTGTCCAATTAGCGAGAAAGAATGGAAATTCGATGATCAAGAATAATATTGTTGGGAATAAAATTCACATGTCAACATTATTCAACTATTTGATTTATTTAAAATTCTTTATGAAAAAAGTAATACAATTTTAACTATTTAGAACCCATCAACCGTTTTAATTCTTAAATAGTTCATATTCTTCAGTAATATGAAATTCCCATAAGCTGATGTGGCAATTTTTCGAAACTTTTCAAGCACCATAGCTTAATTACTTGTCAACACATATCAATCACTGTTAATTCTAGGTACCAAGAAAACTTGATCAGAATTTTACCACAAAAATAAAATATATGATTTAGATTTAAAATTAGTATTCTGTAAGTCATATATGGAATATATCTTGTCTACATATTTCAAATCGGGACAATAATAATGAATGATTTTTCTAGGCCCGTATAGCCAGCCACATGACACAAGTAGAAAACATACAACCCTAAAACCTCAATCAAATGGTTATCAATGTACTTGTACATATGCCTTCTAAGTTACCAAAATGGTCTGCCTTCTAAAATAAATCCAAGTTTTTAGGGGATTAAATGACACTAATCATGTCCCTTGCCGGTGCTAACTATTTTACAACAATCCATCCATTCTCATTCCCACCCATGATTTGGGTTGCGCAATATTTCAAAAGCTGATCTCGACCATGAAAAACTGTGGCACAGTTCATCTGCACAGCACTGAATTAGATAAAACCGCGTTAAATGCTCAAAACCAAGGAATCCACTTACGAGGCTGATCAGGAGTGTCTTTTTTAGGAGTCAAGGTTATTCTTTCGGCATTAACAACAGCCCACTTGCTGAAATCAGGAGACGAAACAAGTTCCTCAAGTGCTTTCTTGGTGGAGTCCTTGGTGAATTTTTCCCACTCATCCTTCGAGAATTTTCTTCGTTCAGGGGTCTTATGGAAGCTAGAATAGTGAGTCTCTGAATCCGACAGTTGACTTGGTGGTGTTCTGATTAAGCCTGAGGAATTCATAGCAAATGTGAAAAAGTAAGCCAAACAAATTCTTGAACTCATAAGACGAATCACAAACAAGAAGCGTACCTTGGATGGGACTATTAGAAGGAGCCTTTGTGAAGTGTCTGGATCTTGGCTTCAGGAAGTCAGAGTTGTCGGGCTTCCGAATATTGTGTACATATTCATCATAAGAATCTTTCGAAGGCGATGAACCTGGAATCTGATATCTGTGACCATGCTTGATTGTTCTGCGTAAATTCCTACATAGTAATCCAAAAATTTCTTCTGATCTCCCAACCATGACAACTCTATTGTAGATATTAGTTCCGTTACTGCTCTTCTATGTATTCTAGATCAAATTGAGGCTGATGCCTACAGGGCTATCTTATATCGACTCGGATACAAGTGTCAAGTAGGGGTGCAGGTGTAGTCTAGACGTCAGACCTATCAAACCTTAAATTTAGGGTATATGGACTCAATAAAAAATGCTCATATTTTTATATTTTTAATCTATTATTTGATATAAAATGGAATTATATGTAACATGTTGGGTTGAAAATGCATTTTACTCTTTTTATAACAATTATACAATAATATATACATGTAATATTGTTAAATACAAATATATAAAAAGTGTTTGATTAATAGTATGAGACACATATCTAACTGTCAGGTGTCTGACACATATATTTGATTTATTTTGAAGAATCTAGGTAAACTATAACTCTCTCTTCTAGTTTAATGAAGCCTTTATTTAACCCCTAAGTAATAACATTAATATATTTATAGTACTTTATTCAGGAGCTAGGGGCAAATTTGGTAATGGATGAATGGATGGGACAATTACGCTCTGTAAGGAGACTTACTTGTACAAGTGACGTATAAATCTTGATCTGGTAATTCTCCTAAACAGCAATGAAACCACTACTCCACACAACAATGCCTCTGCTGCCAGTAAAGGGTCCACGGAACTCTAGAAAGGAAAACAAACCTATCAAAATTGCGGTCTTTCATACAGAAAATGAGATTATCCAGGACATTTGAAGGGGAACAAATAAAAGATGTTAATTCTGATGGATGGAACAAGACCAAACAAACTTCAAGAATTGGAAAGAGGACAATAAAAATTATGAGAGATGGAACCTGAAGAATCATAACAGAAGCAATAATCCGGATGGACCATGCAACAAATTGGGATACGCCTATGTCAATCAATCCATCCTCTGTCAAGACAAGTTTGCGAACGACCCAGAAACCCAACCAAGCTCCTGCTAGGACAAGAAAAACCAACAGAAACATTGCCAGCTGCAGTATACAAGCACTGCTTCAGTTAGTACTAGAGTTCTTGGAATATAAATTACTTAATAAGTGCAGAAAATTGTCCATGACACCAGATATGCATAAAGCAGTAACAAGTAGTACACCCTTTTTTTGCGTGAACCAAAAAAAGGAAAAAATTACAAAGCTGGATAGAGAAAACAAAAGATTTGAAGGAGGTAGGAAATCTAAAGGAATACTAAGTATTTAAATAAATATAGAAAATTTCCAAATTCTTTCAAGTTTTTAGGGTAGTGTTCCCCATATGTAAAATTATAAATGATTGGTCCTCGTAAAATTCTAGAAATATTCATCCAGATTGTCAAGAAAATCAAGGTTTATATCTTAGTTTTGGCATAAATAAAGCTATATCACAGCAAAATTAACACTCAACAATTTATGACATATATTTGTAGTATTGCAGAAGTTCAATTCTAAATAGTCAATAAAAGAAAACAATAGAAACACAAATAAAAACATTGGAGAATTATATTAAGCATGGTGAATTGCTCCCCAGAACCAAGGGTGACTTCCACATGATAACAGCTAAAGAAGGCTGGTCAAGCATGTTGCAAAGAAAAGATATCTAATGTAGGCACTGTCAGGACATTTCTTTTATAAGAAATAATATTTTATTGAAGAAAAAGCATCAAGGAAATGCCACTCATATAAAGCACAAGGCAAAAGACCTATAGACTCCCTCGTGCATCAAAAGGGTCTACAAAATCTAATAATTGGTTGAAGTTGAAAGAGAGGCTACTTATTCCCGACTCCCAACCATTAAAAAATCTCATAAAAGAACTCTTAAGCCTATACAAAGGAACTTCAAAATCATAAAAGATCTACGTTCCCCCCAAATTATTCACATAATGCATAAAGGAATCAAACAACACAGCTTCAGCACACACTCTATAAAGAGATCTTTGGCTTAATATGAGCAGCATCACACTATAATTTATAAATCAATCTCTGCTTGTTAGAAGAGGTGTAGGCATACATACAGAACTTACATACAGGATTATACATGTCTTCGCTGATTCCCATCTCTGTAAGAACTGAACGCAATAATCTTGGCAAGTAGCGGAGGAGAAAAGAACCCAACCCAACCTAAACAAGACGACAGTCAGACAAATCTCTCTAACCTATCATACAGTAATAAAGAAGGCAAACTGATGTAGGATGAATACCCACAATAGATGAGTACACAAAAATTGCAACTGAATTCTTTCGACCTGTTGGGAGAAGCTTCATCCCCTGTCAATAATGCATAACATGGATAAGAAAGAAAGAATAAAGAAACATGAGAAAAAAAATAAAGAATTGAAATACGAGCGTGACTAATACTATAGCTGTTAGAATTATGAAAAACTACTTAGCTAAGAAATTAACAGAGCCTTGATGCAGCAAGTTACAACTTTGTTCGGAGTACAATTGGTGCTAGAATTATAAAAATAACATAAAATAAAATAAGTCATTTCAACACTGTACATGAGACTATCGAAATCACTTCGACAGCATAAGATGCCATACCTTGCCAATGAAATTTATAAACAACTATGGTTTAGATAGTTCTTAGTATGGTAAATAAATTTGCTCCCACTGTAAGTTTGAAATAATTGCAGTAACCCGCAGCAACCCCCAGTGATGTTTCTACAGAAGACTGAACTCCCAAGGTTATTATAAATTACCACATCGTCCACACCCCCTCCTCCTTTTAGTATGTTCGATTATCTGTACAAAAATTAATGGGTATCTAATTTCTTAATACAATGCAATGATTTTACCCTTCAATGACTTTTTGACTACAAAATGACAATTATAACATCATTCTAAAACGTTGCTTAGTTCGCCTAATCTCCTTTTTTGTTCTCTATGATCCTTCATATCTGGGAATGGCATAATACAAGAGTATCAAGGTTATTTCATCAAATTGTTTTGTAACCAAAATTAGTGATTAGCAGATTAGGGCATAAGCATAATTGCCTACTTCCATTGGAGGCAAACTAATGGAGGGGAAGTATTTGATAATTTTAAGATGCATGAAAGAACAGGGCAATTTCTAGAATGCAAGGCGAGATGACTACAGTTTTTTGAAGTCTCAAGAGAGGTGATTAAAATTCCCATGAATTTAAATAGATGGACTGTTAGGGAATATGACTACGAAATAGAGATGAAAATCATAATATAAATGAATAGAAATTTGAAAAAAAGAAAAAAGAAGAGAAAAAAAGTGATCAACCTGAAAAAGGACCACCAATATCACAAGGATGATCCCAACGGCCATCGCACTGCTGTAGTAGAAGACTAAAGAGTTGCTCAGAGAAGAGGCCAATGTCATGATAATAATCCCCAAGACCAAAAATATAATGCGATATGAGAAAAATTCTGCAGATAAAATCAAAAAATAAGATAATTGAGTTGCGAATGTCAGAAAACAAGGGAATAGTGTTCACTCACTAATCCATATGGACTTCACCTTCTGTGAGGGACACCTGAAGGATTTCTAAGGAAGAACCAATCATCCGTACATCTAAGAGCTTGTGGTCAAAAGGTGACATGGAACGAACCCATGAACCCTTAACAAGTTTCTCCCACTGCCCTTGAGGGCACATCCCTATTCCGAGAGAGAAGTTCCTGCAAAGTATACATCACAGAATTAACAGGAAAAATAGTGACTTAGAAATTGCACCGTATGGTTTGAAATGTACTCCGAAACATTCCTAATTTCTTAAGCTGTCATGCCTAACTGGACAGCTCTATTGTAAGAGAGCTTATAATTTTTCAAACATGACATTAGTATGATATTTTTCTTTGTCACAACATTAGGAATGCTCACAAATGTTTACAATTAACATAGGAGCGGAGCATTAATAAATCTCATTGCAGACATAAAGGAAATTTGAATCATTTCTGTTACTTCTTTTTTTTTTTTTTTTTCCTTGTTTTGGTACATCCAAGAACCTCAGATATATAGCCTACAACCTCTGGGGAGGGGGAGGGGGAGGGGGAGGTGTTGTCAGGGTTGAAACCCCAACTTGATGAATGGGGGTTGAAGTGCCCCATAATGCTTGTTATCTCTACATTTAGCACAGAAAACCTTCTTGTAACCAGGTTACTGTGAATTAACAAATTATTGCAATTTGCATGAAAAGAAGTAATTTCTTCAATGTGCTTCTTGCTAAAACATAGATAAACAATCATAGATTTTCCACATTTGACCAATTAATGGACTCCAGTTGCAATCTCAACCTACTATGAGGCGCCCTTACTTGGGCTAGCAACAAAATCCCCATGTGGCACTTCCGTGGCACATTTTGCAATTGCCACATGGGTAGCATGTAACAGAAACTCATTAAAGTTGACATTGTAACTTGACTGTAATTGTAGGGGGTTGACTTTTACAACTGTAAATGTGTGATATGGGTTGCAAGGGCGCAAAGTATATTTAACCCATAAATAAATAAGTAAATCTAAGAAAGCATGTACAAAATCATCACGATCCTTAATGCCATTAGTACAATGTTCTTACTTACAATGTTTGTCTAGGAACAAGTTTCTCCAAAATACAGCCATAACATTCACGGGACAGAAAATCACATCTTAAAAGTTAAAACAGTGCAAAAATAAACTCCTATTTGTCCCAGTTTAGTGCTTAATGTAATTTCAGAATTATTAAAAAAAATATTATTTTGGGTAACACTCACCTATGGAAACAGACCTCAACATTCAGTAGACGGGCACTTGAACTTACACTAGAAACATTCACTTTTACTGAATGTGCAAACTTTCTAAGATTTTTAAGTCTTGACAAACCATGGATTAAAACTCTTTCACATAGCACAATAGCACCATGCTTGGAACCAGGAGATTTTTCCACTGGCAACCTTAGAGATATTTGCAATGTGGTAGACTGAGCAACATCTGCAAAACAAAGAAGGCAAGGCTAGAGAATTATTGAACAAGGAAATTTTTTAAACCGACTAGTGAATAACACACTAACATAACTTATTGAGGAGATAAATTATGCACAAACAGATCTAGAGATCATTGAAATGCTATTATTGTGCAAACAACACAATCCATCACCGAGCAAGTAGAAAACCCAATGAAAATTTATATTCCTTCTTTTCTTTTCCTTTCATTTCTCCAAACCAATTCCAAACATCAAACAAAGTATTAAAAAATCGTGTTCTAAAAGAATTTGGATTTGTATTTTTTATGCAATTTTCCTTTGAGTCAATTATCATGAATCTTGGGGTGACTTGTTTAGGTTAGGGTTTCATTTTTGGCAATTTTGCATTGATACTTTAAATATGCAATTCGACCTATAGTGGTGTAAAAATGCATTAGAACCACCTATATAATATTCCAATTCACAATGGATGGTAGTACAAGAGCAAATTACTGAATTGACAAGACACATTGCTTGGTAAATTTTGATACCACAAAAGTCAGTAATGAGAAAATTTTCACACCACACCATCATAGTTTATCCAAGTTCCAATCTCCTAGCTATTAAGACTTGGATCAAGCTGACTCCCAAGAATACAAAGCAGAACATAGGTGAAAACTTGATTTTTTGTTCTACATAGGCATTATTTTCCATTAATTTTCCCACCTATTCTCCACACACTACCACTTAACCAGCCAGAATCGCCACTTTATCGGGTCAAAACATGTATCAAAAGAACATAACCCAAACTTCAAACCTGAAACCCAATAACTACATCCGTACAGTACCAAATAAATAATACCATCAAACTGATACTATATATGATGCAAACAAATTTCTCTAGCTCTCCTTCTCCAAATTCCTAGAAAGAAAGCAAACAAATGTCATCAGCCATACTTGGGGTTCCCAGAAGCAAACATTTGTCTGAGGCTAAGTTAGGTGACTGTTTGTAGATTTCTTAATTACCAAGTAATGAATAAATTAAGACTCAAGACTCAAATTTTCTTCCGTTTTCCCACGTTTTTTCTCAATGACCAAACAAAGCACACATCCTGAAATCCGGCATGCAATTCAAACAAGCCCTAGATTTCACGATTAACAAAATTGGAGAGAGAGAGAGAGAGAGAGATTTCACCTAGAGAGAGTTCATTCGCGGAGACAACGGAGGATGAAAGAGAAATTGAACCTACGATGAAGAACAGCCAGAGAACTGAAGTGATTCCCATATTGTTTCTTTTCTGCGAAATTCGAGCCAGTGAGGCAGTTTGGAGAGGAGAGGAAAATACGGCAACCCTATTATGAGAATATTTCTGCTATTTTGAATAAAGGACTGGTGCATTTGTTGAGCCCACAAAATGATCCAAGCCCAACTCAACAAGAAGAAAAAAATGATATGGCCCAACGCATTTGAAAGAAAATTTAAGGGGACTTACCGGCCGGTCCTATAGAAATAAATTAATACCGATTAAGTTTTGTCTTATTTCAGTTTCTAATTTTATTCCTGAATGTCACACCACACGTGTGAATCAAAAAATATATCACGAGGTCTCCCCTGTGCGTGTGAAACACACGCTCCTTCTCAATTGTTTTGATTTGGAAACTATTCTGAGGCAATTTGGAAACCATTCTGAGGCGATTTGTGATTTGGAAATCAAAACAAACGAAGAGATTTTCCCTGTATCTCAAATCGTTTCCAAAGAAATCACCTCTGTTTCGATCAATAATCTGATTCCGAACAGATCCCCAGCAAATCCTTCACCGTTTCGATCTATATTTCCTGTTTGGTTCATCTTCAACAAACATGCGAATGAAACGCGAGTCGTATTCATCTTCCATTCTTCTTTTATAACTATAATTAAGTGATATTGAACTTCATAATAATCACATCTTCATGTTCATTTCCTATACAATAACATATTTGTTTATTTTTTCCAATTCAGTGAGAAAATTTACTATAAAAATAATAGATTTGCTTAACTTTCTTAATTGAGTCTTAAAATTTGTTATAAGGATGGATTTGTTTCCCTTCTTCGTTCATAACTGTAAATTGAGTTATAAAATTCGCTATACAATGATGGATTTGCTTACTTTTGCTAATTCAGTGATAAAATTTGATATACAATAACAAATTTGATTACTTTGCCCAATACTGTGAGAAAAATTGCTATAAGAATGGTAGGTTTGCTTAATTTTCCTAATTGAGTGATAAAATTTGTTATAATGATGGATTTGCTTCTCTTCTTATTTCATAACTATGGATTTGCTTCCATTCTTCTTTCATAACTATAATTGAGTAATAAAATTCGACTTGAAGCTATTTTCAATGTGTATCATACAGTACTAATTTATGAGTGATATTCAACTTCATTATAATCACATCTTCATGTTCATTTGCTATACAATGATGGATTTGCTTATTTTTGCTAATTCAATGATAAAATTTGCTATACAATGCCAGATTTGCTTACTTTGCCCAAATCAGTGAGAAAATTTGCTATAAGAATGATAGATTTGCTTAATTTTCCTAATTGAGTAATAAAATTTGTTATGACGATGGATTTGCTTCCCTTCTTCTTTCATAACTATAATTGAGTGATAAAATTCGGATTGAAGCTATTTTGAATCTGTACCATACAGTATTAATTTATGAGTGATATTCAACATCATAACAATCACACATTTATGTTCATTTGCTATACAATGATGCATTTTCTTACTTTTGCTAATTCAGTGATAAAATTTGCTATATAATTGTTTTCATCTTCATCATGATACTTCATGTTCTTTTGCAATTTGGAATCTAAACTTTGCTATACACTTATATATTTGCTTAATTTGCATAATAAATTAATAAATTCTTCTTAGTTTGTCTAGTTCAGTGATAAAATTCTTCTTAATTTTCAATGTTCATGCTCAATGTTTTTGTACAGATGTTTCCAGTCATCATAAAGATTACGTCGTCGAGAAACAAGTTTCTCAAAAAAGAAAAAGACTGAAAAAGTTGAGTTTGTTATAGAGCCAACAACACAAGAAAGTGAAAATCAACTACAAGTTAAACCTGAATCTAACATTGACAATGAGGAGCCCAAACAGGAACAACTGAAACAACCTACAGAGCTCCACAAACCGAGAGGAAAGAAAAAAATTGATAGAAGAAAAACTAGGACTGAACAGATACATGATAATGAAGCAAAATATGTCTATCGTTCCAACATGCAATCTCTTATCAAATTTTTCAAGACAACAAAGCTCAGAGAGGAGCATTTGACAGTATTGAGAAAGATACCTTTTTCATTTCTGGTTGATACATTGAGTGAAAACAAGGTTAAAAGAATAAATTCAATTAAATATGATGATATGGTTGCAAAAATTTGACAAACTTACCAAATGGATGGAACCACATTTGAAATTGCTGGGAAGAAGCTGAAGTTGAAAAGAAATGACTTCAAATTAATTTTTGGGATTGCATGTGGACAAAAGAAGATGAATCTTGCATACGGAAGAAAAAATGAGGTAGCCATGGTGCAAAGAAGGAAAATAACCAAGAGCAGAATGACAAGCACTTCAATCCAAAAGTTGATAACGAAACTTTTGAAAAGTAACAACAATGAAGATGTAGAAGATATCGTTAGGCTTGTGTGCCTTCTGGTTTGTTTACTTTTGTTGTATCCGGGTACTGGGACAACAATTGGTTGGTGGTTCATGAAATACCTCGAGAATATTGACGAAATGAAGTCTTATGATTGGTGTGGCACAGCAAAACAACATCTTACAAGATCAATAGCACGCAACATCAACCAAATTGATAGAGTGTGCGGATGTGTGATCATCTTATTGGTAAGTAAATACCTCACTTACAACTTATAAACTATAATATTTACATTTACTAAATACTAATTTATAACATTTTTTTTGTCCTCAACAGTATTGGATATGTGAGCATGCAAAGATCATCAAACCAAATGACAAGAACCCAATCCCAAGATTTGCAAGATGGAACATTACACATCTGGGACAACAATTGGCAAAGTCATCCTTACATGATCTGAAACATGTTGAGGTATTCGTTGATATCCTTTGTTTTGTTTAAACAAATATTAGATTTTGTTATGCAGTGATAAATTTTAGGAAGACTGATAAATTCTTCTTAATCTTCTTGGTGTCTCATTTGTGGTAGAAAAATTATTTAGGTATTTCATCTGTGATAGGAAATTATTCAATAAACAAGTTTTATCAGTGTATAACTTTTATTTCTTTAATTGAGTGATGAATTTTGCTATGCAGCGATAAATTTTGATATGGACTCATAACTTTTTGCTCACAGTTATAAATTTTCTTACTAAGCTTCATTGAGTGATAAATTTTGCTTAATGTTGCTAATTCACTGATAAAACTTGTTATCATGAAGCAAATCACTAGTCTTATTATACATTTGAATCACCGAATGATAAATTATTACTTAACTTTGCGTCATATCATTCTTTTTAATAATTTTCATTTATGTAGGAGAGCAATTTGAAAGACACAATTGAAGAACAGAACATATACAAATAATTGCAACCACAAACAGATGATGAGCATGAAGATGAAGAATGTAACTTTGAGGAACAATAGGAGACTGAATTATCTGAAAATGAAGAAGAACCAATTATCACAAAGATATTCAGTCTCAGTCCAGGAAGAAATTCACCGAATCCCAAGCATCAAACAGGTGCTCGAAAAAAGAGGAAATCAACAACATTGCAATCAAAAAAGAATGCAAGAAGGAAAGCCAACTTTCAGCATGAAAGTGAAGAAGGTCCAATTCATGTGCAAAGAAATGAGCTTTCTTTTGACAACCTAGAAAATGATGAAGAAGAAGCAATGATCAAACAGAAAAGTTGGTCCAACAACTTCCCCGAGATTCAAGCATCAAACACCGACTAAAAAGAGGAAAGCAAAAAGGAAAATTGCCTATGAAACAAATATCTACCATGTGAAAATTAATGAACATACCTTTTAGAAACTAAAAGAGAATGTCCTGATAATCCAAAGGCTAGAAATGGAGAAGGCAAGAATCTAAGCAGAAAATGATGAGCTTAAGGACCGACTCATGAAGCTCAATAAACAAATGAAAGAACATAGCAAGAAAGCAAAGATACAAATGGAAGTGAAAGATGTGGAAATGGTGCTACTTAATGAGAGAATTGCAATGTTGGTTAAATCAAATCTCTACCTGGACAATGAAGAAGAACAAATCGCAGTTGAAGTTGAAGCCACCACTCCCAAAATATCGCCTCTTGTGAGCTCAATGATAAAAAGGGTGAAAAATAGAGAAACAAGAAAAGAACACAAAGATCCAGATTTTTGGTACATAACGAAAAGACAACCAAAGTAGAACAAGACAGTTGATGAAGTAGAACCAATTGTTGAAGAAAGTGCAAAGACCAGAAAAGAAGAGCCGACACAACATCAACATCCAACAAAACAAATTGACACTTCCTATCCAGTGTTTCACAAATTGCCAAAGAAATCAAGGATGATACTCGCTAGTCTTTGGGCAACAAAAACCAGCAGGTAAGAACATGATTTGGTCCTAAAATTTCCAAATTTAGAATCTAAATTTTAGTAAATGGTCATATATTTATCAATGTATAACCTTTGTGTTACTTCATTCATTGATAAATTTTGTTATACAGTGATAAAATCTGCTACATAGTGATAAATTGTACTTAATTTGTTTGGTGGAGTGATATATTTTGCTAATCTTCATGGTGTCTCATCTATGGTATCAAATTATTTAGGCATTTCAGTTTATGTTCTCTACTTCATTCCATTGTTCGGATTTGATACATCAAGTAAAATTTGATGCTCAATTTGTTCCCCTAACCTTTGTTTCGTTAATTGAGCAACAAATTTTGGTATACAGTGATAAATTTTGTTTTCACATTTGCAGTTATCCAATCTTACAAGGAAAGGAAGTAGGCAGCTATTTGTACTTGGATGATATTGACAAAATAGTCAAATGCGAAGAACTTTCTGGAAATGTAAAATCAAATCTCTATTTGTGCATATATCAATTGTAATACCAAATAATAATTCTCTCATTAACCTTGTTTGTTTTTGTTTTTACAACAGACAATAAATGCATACAAGGAAATCTTAATGACAGAAGAGCAACCGAAACCAAAGTTCAGCCTCAGCTCACAAGTAGGAACAACATATATATTTACTACGTCATGCCATGTAAGCAAATTACATATATATATATATATATATATATATTTCATTATGATATCATCCATTCCCCTTGTCTAAATCAAATGCATAAGTTCTCATTCATCCAGCCTTATAGTGATAAAATTACCATTAACGAATAACATTGTAACCAAAACTAATAAATTTGCAAAACACAGTATTTGTTCACCACAAAGGATGAGGCAAAAACAAATCAATTGTTGAACAACATGATGTTAGAAGTTGTCATGGAAAGATATCTTCTTTTCCTAATTTTCAATGAAAAGCATTGGACGTTGTTGGTACTCGATACTGAAAATGGCTCATGGAAGTTTTACAATTCAATGAGACCAAGCACATAAACAGATAACCACTTAAATGAGGCAAACAAAGTGGTAAAACACCAATTAATTATGATATCATCCATTCCCCTTGTCTATATCAAATTTTATTATGCATTTATTTGTCAAACACCAATTAATTATTAATATATTTTGCAGAGAAAGATTACTGAAAAATACCTTCAACATCACAACCCCAAACTCATTGAAGGTAACAAGTTTCATGAAGAAACAGAAATTGCAATGAATTGTCACCAACAAGTTGATCATTCGTAAGTTTCTGAAAACCAAAACACATTACATTGATAAAATTATCATTGATGACTATTAACTTTGTTTATTTTGCAGAGAAAGATTATTAAAAAATACTTCAACATCACAACCCCAAACTCATTGAAGGTAACAAGTTTCATGAAGAAACAGAAATTGCAATGAATTGTCACCAACAAGTTGATCATTCGTAAGTTTCTGAAAACCAAAACACATTACATTGATAAAATTATCATTGATGACTATTAACTTTGTTTTTCCAATGTCATCGTAGACTTGATTGTGGCGTCATAGTTTGTTACCTCATGAGAGAATATGTCTGTAACAAAGACATCTTTCCAAACTTAACAAAAGAGGAGTGCCACCAAATCAGAGCAGATATCATAGAGGCTTTGTTGACTAACCAACAGACAGACACCTAGCAAATCGTTGATGAGGCAATAGAAGCGGTGCTTGAAGACAAGGAGTTTTGGGACACAATACACAATGACAACAATGCTTGAATAATTTTGGACAAACATTATAATCATTTTGGTTCTTACTTTGCTTCAATGAATATTACAATGCTTGGTTGTTACAATGTCAAATTTGCTTCAATGAAACATTCAGTCTTTTTTAACCATATTGTCACCAGATATGACTTTTGATATAGGTCTTGTTTTACGCAAATTTCATTCAAAAAATTAATTATGATCTGATTATTTGTGTCAAATTTAAAGCTTAATAAAAGGTTTGGAGTAACTACACTGATAAATTTATTTTTTTATAGTGTTTTGTTTTCACTCATAAATTTATCCCTGTTTCAACAAATTTATCACTGTAAACACTGATAAACTTTTCACTGTTTAAACAAAAAAACCAACACCTCTCTCTCTCATTTTTTTTTTCCAAACTCAATTAAACAGTGAAAAATTTACCTAAATTTTTTCCAAACTCAATTAAACAAAGCACTATATATAAATAAAAAATTTACCTAAATTGAAAATTAAAACACAAACCCTATTACATTGTTTTAATTATTTTGGTTCTTCATTTGCTTCAATGAAACATTTAGTCTTTTTTATCCATATTGTTAACATATCTGGCTTTTGATATCAGTCTGGTTTTATGCAAATTTCATTCAAAAAATTGATTATAATCTGATTATTTGTGTCAAATTTAAAGGTTAATAACAGGTTTGGAATCACTATACTGATAAAATTATTTTTTTATAGTGTTTTGTTTACATTGATAAATTTATCACTGTTTCAACAAATTTATCACTGTGAGCACTGACAAATTTATTACTGTTCAAACAAAAAAACCAGTACCTCTCTCTTTCTCTCTCTCATTCTTTTTTCCAAACTCAATTAAACAAAGCACTATAAAAAAATTAAAAATTTACCTACACAGAAAATTAAAACACATCACTACAACAAATTTGGGATTTAAAGATGAAACAAATTTGTCCCAAAATGTATATATTTCGTCACCCAAACTAATTACGACGAACATTTTTCGTCACCCGTTTTGTCTCCAAAGGGTCATCGCTAAAGGGTCTTAGAGACGAAAAAAAAAATTCGTCATTGAAAATGATAAATTTGTGACGAATTTTTTTGTCTCCAATACACTTTGTTGGGAACATACTTGTAAGTAATTAGCGACAAAATATTTTGTCATTAAAGAAGAAATTAGAGACAAAAGTATTTCGTCATAAATATAAGAAATAGAGACGAAATAATTTTGTCACGTTTAATATAAACGAAGACGAAAATTTTTTGTCAAAGAAGCTACCAATAGAGACAAAAACAAATTCATCATTAAAAATGATAAAATAATGTCAAAAAAAATTCGTCACACATTGAGGGTAATAGTGACAAAATGTGACAATATTTTTTGTCATGACAAATTCATTTAGCGACGAAATAAAGAATTTATGACAAAATTAATCATCCACCTAAGCAAAATAAATAACAAAAAAACCTTCTTTAGGGATGAAAAATTTTGTCAATAATTTCATAATATTTTTTTCCACATTATATACCTATTTTATCAAAATCTAAATTTTAGTTCAACAAATATAACCCTGTTTATGTTAAAACCTGTTAAATATAACAATTCCATCACAACTTAACCTAACCTATCATCAACACATTTACGAATTAACAAAATAAAAATATTCATTCATCATTACAAATAATTTCATCATAATACAATAAAATAGTGCAATATCCACAAAATATCCAAAAGTTATAACTTATACAATTCTACCAAACATCCAACAATAATTAGTGCAACTCCCCAAAGTATGTGTATCCTTATCAAACAAAAATGAACATTCAAGTAAATTACATCATTGTTGCACGTCAAAAATGCCACCCCAATCCAATCTGCAAAAAAATAAATTAAAAACTTTAGTAATTAATTAATTATACAAAAGATTAAAAACATTAATAACTCATCAATTTACAATTAGATCAATTATACAAGTTATCCATCTAACAAGCTTTTTTTCGAGATTATGAGAATAAAAAATTAATTTTAAGGTTAATTCACAAATGGTGCATCCCATTAATGTGCCGTAAGTTCATACAACTTATATTGGTCCCTCCTAAGGTGTTTCTGTTGGTTCCTATACAAATCTATGGCTGTGTGATAAATTATTCTACAAACACAAACCAAACAAGGCCCATGTTTCTGACTGATATTGGTCCTACTAATCTTAAACCTTCTAATTTTGAAGAATCTCTCTCTAATGCAGTTAAATAATGTAATGCAAATAAAAGAAAGATTTTTTAGTTCAAATATCTGTATCCATATCCAGTAGAGAAAATTTACCAGATCCATTGAGTTGCTATCCAAAAATTCAAATGCAGATAAAATTTCACCAAGCTTTCTTTTGGCATCCAATAGTAGATTCTGACGAAAAAGACAAAGAAAACAACATGAACTCAATTGCAAATCAAGTTCATATTTGAAGTTCACATTAACTTCGATTATTCAAAATGAAATGATATATAGAAGAGGATGCAAGTTTGTTAGGAAATTCATAATGGCATAATATCAGGAATTTTGCATAATCATTATTTCTTCAAGACAACTCATGATCAGATTTCAAGTAACCTTTTTATACTTTCACTTAAGTGATATGCTTGCCTAAATAGAAATTAGAAGGGAAAATTTATTTGAGTGTGACAGAAGTGATCTTACCTTTTTATGAGAGGGAACTTTTGAGAAGAATTTCATAAGATAAAACAAACATGACAATGCTCAAATAAAAGGAAAATGATAGTCATTCATTTCTTAAAATTAAGAATGAAAAACATTTCAATTTCATTATATACTTTGCTTTGGGTAATCTAAAAAATGGACCAGACACTTTCATTAATTTATCAGAAATTTTGAAAAACCAGCCAACTTGGTTGGATTTTAACCAGGTTTTGGGAATTTTTGTCGAGTAAAGGTTGGCATATGTACTTCTGAAATGCTTTACCAAACACTGAAAAGGTTTCAAACCAGTGAAGTTGTGGCCCCTAGAATTGGTTTTTTGCTTTTCTTAAATAGGCTCAATTTAGAGTCTGTGCCTGCCTACAAAGTAATTTTGAACAAAAATGCTGTAAAAAAGTATTAAGAAAACCAAACAGACATCCAATTCAATGTCATTAAAAAAATCATTATTACTCAAAAGCAATAACAAAACCCACTTGATATGGACACCAAGCTTGCTTTGGTTTGATTTGACAGTGAAACAAAAAACAATTCAACCAAATTGAGACACAAATTAATATCTAAATAACAGAAATTAAACCCATCATTTCCCATACAAACACATACAGCTCCTACAACAATTCAACCAAATTGAGACACAAATTTGATATCATACAACACAGGATCAAATTAAAAGAAAATCAAACCTGCTGGTAGAGAGTGTAGAGAAGCAATGCACAGCAATACAGAGCTTGAAATCAGAATTAAACAGAGCAATATAGAAATCAACTACGCCTAATGAAGTAGATAACAAACAGCAATACAAAAACAAACACAATGCATCAGAAATTCAAATCAGACTATCAATCACGAAGCCTTTTTAACAAAAAATATAGCAAATTAGAATGTTTGAATCAATTCAGAAAACAAAGTTACATGAGTCGCATTGAACTTCATGCTGACTCAAAACGAAATTCAAAATGCAATGCACCAGAGCTTCATCATAAATCACGAATTTTTACTTAATAAGAAACCACTACTTGATAATGAAATTTATAAACTCAAGTTAATTAAAAGTCCTTACTAACTTTAGTGGATAATTGAAGTTAGAAACCCAAACACCCTCATTTTCGCTTTATTCCCCCTTTTCATGCCTTTTCATCTATTAGAAACCCCTAACACTTTTCAGTTGATAGCTTTGTTCTAATCAGTGAGTAAATTAATCAAACACTTGCAGATTCAAACATCTCCCAACAACACACTATTATACAAAACCCAGTATAAATCATTCAGTAAAATTGAATTTAGGGCATTACAAGAGAACATAAAACACATTAATAATTAGATAGTATGATAAAACAAACCTTGAAGACGATGAAGATGCAGATGAGACTTGTGTGGTTGAAGTGACATTGTTGTCTTGGTTAATAGACGAGGAAGATGAAGAAGAAGAGGAAGGAGGCTGACAAAGACCCGACTTATTTTTTGAAATCTTTAAACAATGTAACCCATTTCATCGTATTTCCGAGATAATAACTTTCTCATCCAACAAATGTCCCACCGGAGGCCGATCAAACTCCGACAGATCCAAATCCTTCTAGATTAATAATCTAGAAGGATCTCCGACCTCAATATACGTATACGAGAGAGTGAGAGGGTTGGGAGATCTGCAAATGCCGGTCTACGAGAAAGAGATTGTGAGCGTCAGCGAGAGCGATAGAAGAGAATGAGAGGACATGAGAGGAGGATATAGGATATGTTCTCACGACTTAAACATATCCATCATGTATGAACCTTAATAGTTTGTATGGAGCAATTTTTGTATGCAAATATGATATATGTTATGTGATATTTTTATTATTATGATTATTTTTTATAATAAAATTCACTATATTTATAAATGAAAATAATGTCACGTAATACAATAAGAGACATATATAAGTAAAAAATAATATCACGTGACACATGTTAGCATACAAAAGTTTCTCATTTGTAAATGAATTTAATGTCAATTCACATTAAAAAAATGGCAATAAAAATCCACAACCTACAATAATAGATATTTCCAAGAATCCCATACATTTAAAAAAAAGGGTCTCCCAATTTAACTAGAATATCCGAAAAGGCATAAAACCTAGGAGACATCCTAAGAAACATCGAAGATGATCAACAGTATATATATATTATGTGTGTCAATTTCCGACCATACCGCCAAATTAGTACTTAGCTGGAGAGCACCAGCAGAAGAGATTAAACCCGAACGACCTGCAACAGAAAGAAGAGATTCCGGCGGTGGTTCGTCCACCCGGGGGCACTCCGAAGATCAAGTCAGTTATCTCTCAAAGTAGTAAAAGTGCTTAACTCCCTATTCAGAATATAAATTGCGTACCTTAGACCCATGGGGGTGCCTCTCTTTTATAGCCAACACAAACCTAATCCCAATAGAAGCCTGGCTTCAATGGACTTCAGCTCAGTGCTTATTTTGGACTCTCCAATAGATAAAGATAAACTCCCTGAGAGCTTTATCCTTATCCAGGTTGAGGTCCTTTTTCATTCTAGGACTCTTGTCCCTTATCCGCTTATCCCAGACTCTGATATCTTCGAAGATAATCTCGACCTAGCCGAGATCACCTCGGCGTCACGACCGGGACATGTGGCACCTCAGCTGACACTTCGGCGTCACCTTGGCCACGTGTTAGCACTCAGAAAATATGCCCCCACAACTGCCCCCTAGGTTCTATTACCTCGGCATCCCGAGATGATGGAACCTATATCAGTACTTCCTTCTAGCATGTCGGCTAAGCTCGCTTCTTTATTCATTGCCGAAGTAATAACTCATCGGCTCAGTATGACCAAGACCTATAGTCTGCTTCCATCAACGCCTTAGAACCATTAACCAGGATTGTTCAAGTTTTTCAGCCGAGATCATCCTCCCAACCGAAGTCCTTGCTTCTTTAACCCAAGAACTTCAAGAGTTCTATCATGCGTGTGAGCTGTCATGCACAATATTCCAACCGTTTTTGCCATGTGTCTTTCCCCTACTGAGCCGTTCCCGACACGCGCCATCAAGTCGCATCACTCGTGCGTGCGCCGTTTGACAGGCATGTCGCCCTAAGAAATTAATTACAGTTTTGCCACCATTTTGTGGTTTTTTGATCAAAACCACTTCTCTCTCTCTGTCCCTTCACTTTTTGCATCACCGTTTCTGATGCATCCAACTTTTTCTCTCTCTCTAATCTGTCATTGTTCAAGCTTTTCTTGCTCTGCAACTTGCTCCGTTCACCTCCTCCGGCATGATTTTCACCGCTCCGTCGCTTTTGCAACCATCATCTGACTTCGGCGATCCTCACACCGGCCTCACTTTCTCTGGTAAGCCACTATTCCTCCTGGTTTTCAATTCTTGATTTCACTACAAACTTTGTTGTATTTTGCAGACTTGCTTGTGTCCTCGATCATTTTTAATCTGTACCTTGATTTTCACCATGTGTTTGAGTATGTTTGCTTCGTGATTCTGTTTTTTTCAAATCCTTTCTTGAATATACACACATTGTTCACAAATTTGTTCTCGTTTGCCACTGTTCTTGGCCTTGCACCTTTGCACACACTCTGTCACAGTGTTCTTGATGATTCACCACTTTTCTTGATTCTGAATCATTGCTCTTGTTTTTGTTTGCCGTGTTTTTTCCAGATTCTTTCCTTCAACCTCCATTTGCTTAGACTTAGGTCTGAGATTTTCCATAGAACACACAAAACTTAGGGAAAAACTGAAACAACCTTCACTTTGGATCACAAAAAATCTTTACCCCAGCATTTGTTTAGGTTTTGCCGAGGTCTTCTGAGCCTTTACAGAACACTTTATTTCCAACTTATCCACCTTCCCCCTAAGCCAACGTCATGGGTATGTGGAAGCATAGGGTAAATACCCCAACCAAGTTGGAATATTTTAGGCAGGAGTTTTCCATCCCCGCCGACGTCCATCTGAGGTTGGCTGGGGAAGATGACTCCATCATGCCCACACTTGATTCTATGCCTTTCCCCGTTGTAGCTTTTATTGAATGTGGACTTAGGCTCCTACTAGACACCCTCTTCCGTGAGATACTTCATTACTATAAATTGAACCCAATGCAGCTCGCCATCAATTCCTACCGAGTCATCAATGGTATAATAGCCTTAGCCAAACAGGAGAATGCTAGGGTTACCTTAGCCGATATCCAATACTGCTACACCATGTATGGCCTCAAGTTAGAGAAAGGCTATATTTACTACCTCAAGCCGAGGTCCACAGAGTATAAAATCGTAGCCGACCTCCCAGACTCCAACAAGGGAGCTGGGGATGATTACTTCATTATCTCGGGGAACTGGGAGTTCGCTCCAAATGAGGACCTCCACCTCTACCCTCTTCCTTGAACAGTTTTTGTAGAGGGTAATGGTAAGAGCCCAGTGTTTATACTTTACTTGTTTTTAAAGTCTTCAATACTTCATTTGTTCTAACGTTTGTTTTTCTTGATGCTCTTCCTCAACTAGCAAAAGACTTGCGCAAGTCTTTTTTCCCCAGCAAGGGCTTGGAGAGGCTACTGGATCCGCCAGTTCACAAGTGAAGAGCTCATTTTCTTCTGAACTTTATCCTGACCTACAAGTCGGTGCTTTCCGACGTCCCAAAGAGGAAGAAAAGCAATTCTCCCCTTTCCGCCACAACTCCTCCAACAGCCTCATCATCTCGGCCAAATCAAGGATCGACCTCTGATCTAGTAGAGCAACCGTCAACCTCAGCTCCATATCTGATCCCACCATCTCAATGCCAACGGCGCTGTAGGACTGCAATTGTCGCTGGGATGGGTCGTAAGAAAGCTGTCGCCGAAGATCTTCTAGCTGACATCCCTGACTCAGTTGACACTCAACCAGCACAAGCCCAGCACTACTACAAAAATAGTTAAAGATCACACTTTGACAAAAAAAAAGATCTCACTTTTATTGGAAGTGTGATAAAAAAAATTAGATTGATATTTTAATCACACTTAATTTGATTGAGTGTGATAATATTTATTTTTTATGTCACTTTTCAATTAAGTGTGATTATATATATATATTTTTAATCACACCTTCTAATTAAAGTGTGATTATATATACACTACTACTTTTTAATCACACTTTTTAAACAAGTGTGATTATATATATATTTTTTAATCACACATTCTAATTAAAGTGTGATTATTTATATATTTTTTAATCACACCTTCTAATTAAAGTGTGATTATATATACAGTACTACTTTTTAATCACGCTTTTTAAATAAGTGTGATTATATAGATATTTTTTAACCATACATTCTAATTAAAATGTGATTATTTATATATTTTTTAATCACACCTTCTAATTAAAGTGTGATTATATATACACTACTACTTTTTAATCACACTTTTTAAATAAGTGTGATTATATATATATTTTTTAATCACACATTTTAATTAAAGTGTGATTATATATATATTACTACTTTTAAATCACACTCCCTAAATAGGTGTGATTGTATAAAATATTTCAATTTGATTTTTATATAAAATATACAATTCCCAAATCCGCGCCTCTATTCTACCCATAAATGATAGAGATGACTCACTACTAGAAAATGAGGCTTTAGACACGGAACTTTTTCACCCATTTGTTCATCTTTCTATCTCTCTGTCTCTGTCTCTTTTCTCTCTCTCTCTCACTCATCACTCTTCTCTGTCTGTCTGTCTGTTTGTCTCTCTCTCTTTCTCTCTGTCTATCTCTCTCATCTCTCTCTGTCTCTCTTCTCTTTATCTCTCTCGCTCATCTCTCTCTGTCTCTCTCTCGTTTATCTCTTTTCGCTCTTTTTTTCTCTCCCTCTCTCTTTGTCTATATCTTTTCACCCATTTTTTCATCTTCCTCTCTCTCTTCTCATTCTCTCTCTCACTCATCACTCTTTTCTTTCTAACTATCTGTCTCTCTCTCTCTCTCTCTCTCTCTGTGTGTGTCTCTCACTCATCTATCTCTTCTCTCATCTCTTTTTTCTCTCTGTCTCTTTCGCTCATCTCTCTTCTCTCTATCTCTCTTATCTCTTTTCTCTCTCTGTGCTCATCTCTCTTCCCTCTATCTCTCTCATCTTTCTCTGTCTCTCTCGCTCATCTCTCTTCTCTCTCTCCGTCATCTCTCTTCTCTCTATGTCTCTCTCGCTCATCTCTCTTCTCTTATCTCTCTCTCTTGTTCCATCTCTCTTCTCTCTCTATCCTTTTTTCTGTCTCTCACTCCTCTATCTTTTTGTCCTCTCTCTCTCTCTTCTCTTTCTCTCTCTTTTCTCTCCACTATGTCGCGTTGCTCACTCTCTCCCTTCTGTCTCTCTCTATTTACTGAGCTCCCTCTCGATTTATCTATCCACTACAAGAAAATGCATTTTAGCGACCACTTTGTCTCTCTCTTGCTCATCACTCTGTCTTTGTCTCTCTCTCTCTCTCTCCTCTTCTTCCTATCTGTTCTCGACTCATTTTTCTCTTCTCACCACCCATCTCCTTTACCACCTTCCACACTACTTGCAAAACGTCATTCCATTACCACCATTACTGCCACTGTCGCCACTTCACGCTCTCAACGACTACCATGCTACTACACTTGCCACCACTACCACACTACTGCACTATTACTACATTATCCTCATCTCACC